AGAGGAGAGAGAGCATTTGTTTTTGAGCAAAAACTATATCCATACACATCAAGACAAGACACTAGTCTTCAACCTCTTTCTCGGCTATCACACACTCAGACGCATTTTTCTTGTTAGCTTTTGTTGGTTGATCATCTGCAACACACAGGGACAACACCCATCCTTGGCTGACCACACACTCACACTCTCTCTCTCTCTCTCTCTCTCGGCAGACCTATGCACATGGGCACACACTCAAACAACAAACAACAAACATCATCATCTCTCCCACCAACTCCAATCCCACTCAACTTTCTTTTCTTTTAATATATATATATATATATATATATGTTTATTAAGCTCCCACCATGTCCACTTTCTTTTTATTTATTTATTTATTTTTCATTCAAAAAAAAAAAAAAAAAAAAAAAACAACAACAACAACAAAACACCCACAGTGGGATTTTTCTTCTCTACTCTGCTGCGGGTCGCTTTTTCTTGCCTCCATCCTGGGCGGCTCTTGACGGTGTTGCCTCCGTGTTTCCTTGTCCACCGAGCACGTTCACTCCCCCATACTCCTCCACTGCAGCATATGGAGGACCTCCAAATCGGAACATTACGGTGGCCTTCCGCTTCAGCTCCTTGTTTTCCGCCTTTAGCACACTTATCTCTGCTCGCGCATCCTTATACATGCGTTGGAGCAGAGCCAGCTGGGAGTTTAATTGCTGCACCTCATTTGTCCTACTCTGCAGCCGGTGCGACAAGTTTGTGACCGCCGTCATGGACTCCACACATGCCTTCAAAGTATACTGATTGGCCTCCACATCCGTCTGCACCGCCATTTTTTGCTCCACAGACCGCATCGGAAAGTTCAGCGGAGCAAACCCAGCGGTGTTTGGTTGAGGTTCACTGGCCACCGCACCAGTTCTCTCTCCTGTGGACTCGTTGAGGTCGGGAAAGAGGGTAAGCAGCCCGCGGGACGACGAAGCCATTTTTTCTGGGCAACAGAGTGTTATAGAGAGTGTTACAGAGTATCTTCTCAGCAAAACCTCTCTTTCTCAGCAAAACGAAGAATTTTTCAGAGGTTTCTCTCAGTTTTTCTGTCTCCGTTTCTGCCTCCTCCGCTTCGGTTTATAAAGACCATGACACAGAGGCAGCCACGCGCATCGCGCGCCTCTTGACGCCCGACAAACTGGCACGCCTTTTCATGGCACATCTTTTGATAAAGTGGGCACGCCTTTTGATGGCACGCCTTTTGATAAAATTGGGCACGCCTTTTGAGGGTGCCACTTTTACAACGGTCCGACATGACCCTATAAACTGTCCCGACATTTGATTCCGGTTAGCATCTCCAACGGTCCGACATGACCCCATAAACTGTCCCGACATTGATTCCGGTTAGCATACAGTGTCCTCTACTCCGTTATGACACCACCATCCAGTGTCCTCTACACCGTTATGGCACACCCATCCAGTGTCCTCTACCACGTTATGGCACCACCTTTCAGTGTTTTCACCAACGGTCTGACACGACCATACAGTGTCTCCTATTTTTTTTTTTTTATATTATTTTTATATATTTTCTTGTTTTGTTCCTCTCTCCAAACTCAAGTTGGTTAGTTTCTATCCTCCTTGAGTTTGCGGGGGGCTGTTAAAATATATCATCCACTACTCCACTACACACCCCACTTCACCTACCACCTCCACTACACCTCACCTACTACCCAAACTCTCTCCTATATAATAACCCACTCTGATTTGTAATATAACACATCAAGAAATATCAATCAATAATACATGATTTTTAACACGTTGTTTCTAAGAGAAAATACTTTAGACAATAATAAGCAACCTGTCATATTGTAGGACTGGGAGAACTGGGAGAACTCAATTGAAAATATAGCCGCTTTGCAAGAGCAGTCTCTCAAACAGCTCGTCTTGCAACCCTCTACATCTGTTTGTCGAAACAACTCTGTCCGGTTACTGTAGTGAACAAAATGTAAGCTAAAGTAACTAGTATCCTTAAGCTCCAAAAGGCTATGATATTGTGAATGATCACAAGAAATGGGTGTAACAATAGAGCATCCAAGGTTGGGTTTCATAAAATTTATTTGCCTGAAAGTGACTGTTTCAGTGTGGCTTCGCCAGGACAGCTGCACTGTCCTTCTGAACAAATGCCGTATTCACCACAAGCCATCGGGTATTGACACTCGTCTCTCCACACTGTCAGTAGATCAACCACTACCCCCCAATCCTCTCCTCCCCACTCATAAACCTTCAAATGCCCATCAGGCTCCAACCTCATGAACTGAGATGTATTTGTATTTGCAGGTGGAACATTGTACCCGTCGATGTTTCCATTCTCGAATTTGACATATGGACTGTGTCCAAAAGAAGATTCAAAATAGGATTGGGGTGGATTGGATTCTATATAAACAAACCAACCATCAGAATGAACAGCAAGCGAATACAAACCTTCACTTCAATTTGATGCTGATATGCTGGCGGTCAGCTTTTGCCCCGGAACCAACTTCCGCCCAGGAAGTAAGGAGTCTGTTGGGTCATCAAAAGATTGCCAAACCATTGCATGGTTTCGGTCAAAGAGCACCAAGTTTCCATCTTCAGTCAAGTTCAAGCCTGAGACAGAGTAATTCCCTCCTCCAGTTTTTGTAGACCAGACTGAAGTGCCATCGGAGTCTGCCAAGATCAAGTCCCCATCTTGAGTAAGTTGCAAGGTTGCATTAAGTTTTACAGGACGGTTTCGATTAGCGGACCAAACAAGTTGTGGTTTAGATGACATAAAAGTGTTTTCGAAGACAGTTAGGTTAAGGATGACCACAGCAAAGAGGCAGTCAGTGTAAGTATAATCGCAGTAGAAGCCGCAACCATAACCCGTGCCAAAGCTTCCTCTAAGAAGGATGGGTTGAAATCAACAAATGAGGCATTTGGGAATTCAGAAGATGGGTCGGGGGTGTAGAACCATAAAGTGGATAGGTTGGCAATTGGGTAATCCTTGAGAGTCTGAGGCTGGGCACTCACCAAGTCTCCAGGAATTGAATAGGTATAGATGAGAATTGTAAAAAGCAGAACAATAGTAGTGCAACACGAACAAGTCCTCGGTTGATCCATATTATCAGAGAGAGAGACAGAGAGAGAGTACTTGTCTAACACTTGGGAAGAAAACCAAAACCAAAGGCCTCTCCTTTTGGTGCTGTTGAGCATGAGATTCAGCTGGTTTGGTTTTGATTTTTAGAAATTTTTAATTTTTAATTTTTTATATTTTTTTTGTTTTCAATAATTTTTTTTAATATTTTAAGTATTTTTTTAAATTTTTAAACATACCTAATGTAAATACACTTAAAAAGTATAATATTTATGAAAAAAAATTTAAAAATTCACTAAATACCAAAAAATAATAATAATAATTAAAAAAACTAAAATTTAGTACATTTTTTATATTTTTGTGTATTTATTAATTTTTTAAAATATTTTTTTTATAAATATTTTATTATTTACATACAAAAAAGGCCAAAAATTTAAAAAATATTCACTAAAAATAAAAATATAAGAAAAATAAAAATTTTAATTTTTAAAAAATTAAAACCAAACATACCGATATTTTTTTTTTTTTTTAATCCATATATATAGTTTTGATCAATAAGAATGAGATTAGTATTTAGTGCAGTGTGGCCAACTATTGTGTTCCAATAATTAGAAACTGCTTCAATTGGGTAGGTCCCTCTCCGTGTTTCTTCATTGTTGGCTTGTTCCTTGAGCTGGTCTGCATTAAACCCAACAGTAGCGAAACCGAAACCGTGTTCATTTCACAAAGTCAAAAAAGTCAGTTTGTTTATTTGTTTTTTTAAAAAAGATCGACTCTCAAGTAAATTTTTTTTTAATACTTTCTAAATGATTAGATGATTTTAAAATATTTAAAAAAAATTAAGTGAATTTAAATTTAAAAAACCATTAATAACAAAAGTAAGTCTTTTTAAAAAAAAAATTAAAAAAAAAAACTAGCAAAATTTTATTTCTCGTCTTTTTTGAAATTTAAAATTTTAAACTTCTGGGATTGCACAAATATAAAATGTATGGTTATTTGAGTGAATTATAAAAATATTTGCTAAAGACAACAGCTAAAACAGCCAAGTCTTTTTTGGGTGAATAAGACAGCCAAGCCAATTCAAGTCAAAGTTAATAATTTTGGGATCTAAATATCTTAACCCTATTTTTGACCTCTTTTGGAAAATGACTTATAATTCACTTCTCAGATTACTTATAAACAACTTTTTGTGAAAAAACTGAATATGACCATCTTTCAAAAATAGCTCAAATATAACAAAATCCACTTTATCCATAGTTGAATTCAAAATCCTTTTTCAGTGGTGCCTCCTCACTGGGCTAACACGCAAGTTAATTAGGTCACTAACAAAGTCCACTTATTGTTATTATAAATTATTCTCCAATTTATACTAGCTGTGTCCCCTGGCTGTCTGTCTGGTTTAAAATTGCATTGTTTACTTAAACAATGCTTATGGTGAATTAATCACTCAGTTATTTTAGAACTTTACAATATATATATATATATATATATATTTAATAAAAGAAATGATCGATGAGATTGATAATCAAAGGAATGATTAAAAGATTAAAGTATACAATGGCGACATCCAACAATCATGAAATAAATAATCATACACAAAAAAGGAAAGGATTTATAGTGCAAAAACACATTTCAAGGCGAAGCTAAAAAAACCTTTGTGACACTTTAACCCACAAACTAGCAAATCAAATTTCTAGGTTACCAAAGATTTAGACTTGACATCGTACATGTTCAAATTCATTGAGAAGTTCCGATCATTATGCAAACGTTGCAAAGCTAAAATTCGAGGACAGCAGTGTAATATATCCTAAAATTAGTGTCATTTTTTTCTCTTACAAGTCCAATTCATTTTTAAATCTTGTAAAGCCAATGACAACAATCAATAAACAACAAAAGAAAAGGCACTATGCTTTATCAATTTTATGAACATTCAAGTAAAGAATATACCATTGGAAGTTCTTTCAAGTATAGAATGTGAATGTGTATCTAAAACATTCTACAAAATAAACAACCTTCCCTTTGCAGCCAGTGCACAGATATGCAGATTAGAAACAACATTTGTATTACAAATCAAAATCAACTGGAGTTTGAATTCAGTGTAGGCTAAACCTGTAAAGCAATTGACAATTATTCACAACAGAATACATGGTAGTAGCAGAGAAAAAGAGGTCCCACATGAACTTGAGCTTTGAAACAACCTTCAACATCGATGAGGTTGATAAGTTTCAAATTTTACAAATATTCAGATAAATCTTCTTGGTTCTCCAAATCCCATATAACAACTTTTCCATCTAGACCTGTTTTTAGCCCATCAGAAAAACATGAGTACTACCAAAAGTTAAAGCAACAGGTTTCAGGCACATTATGCAAAAATGGAGTTTCGTTATACCAACCTGAAGTACTGAATCGTGTATTTGTAGAATCCCCTTCTTTCTTAAGTGGCACAATACAGCTATAAAGAAAAAAAAATGTAATTAAAATCCCAAGTTAAAATATTAATTCATCAAGTCTCGTTAAGACATGAAAATAAGTAGATCGATAGATAAAGATTAAAAAAGAAATAGCAATAAATGAGTATAGATAAGATCAGTACTTGATAGAGTTCTCGTGAATGCCTCCACGTGGTCTTGAAGGCTCAACTATATCATTGCTGATTCCAAGTTTTGATTGGCCGTACAGTTTCCCAAATGCTTCAGAAAACTGAAATGAGAAAAAAATAAAAAAAATAGAAAAACACTCCATAGAAACCTTAGTTTATTATGTAAAACATGACAAGATGAAAGGAAAGCTAAAGACGAACGAATATCCAAAAGAACATTTCAATTAGGATAATTACTGTAGGATAATGATGACGGAACTCTTGTGAGACTAAGTTTTCCAGTTTCAGAAATTATCGATGTTGACAGATTGAAAGCCTCAATACAGCTTACAAGAAAATACATGAAGATGAAGATAAGTACCTGTGAACCATATTTTGCACCTGAAGATGATGTTTTTCTTTCACCAAGGAACCTAACAAAGCTCCTAAAATATATATAATAATAATAAATTCTTCGTTAGGTTCGTTGCCAAGTAAAATGTTATAATAAATTTCCATTTTCAGTACAAGTGCAGGACTCAATTGTTATGGCAATTTAAAATGAACGAAAGCTCATTAAAGCATGCAGATAGATATGCCCTATGATGGTGTCCAATTGCAAATATCATCAGTTCATGTCACCTGAAAGAGAGAAACTCAATTTTGTGACAAGGATAAAAACCATCCCATACTGGAATTTGGAATAAATATTGTACCAAAAGACAAATTGAGAAGTTCCTTACTAAGAATGCTGTTTCTGAATCTCCCATGATAATTATTGATACAAGAATTGGCCAATGATATTAACGTAGCACAAGAGAATCAAAAACAACAAAATTTTACATGCAGGCAGCAAAACAATAATAAATATCCCTATTCAAGAAATAACATCATATTAAATAATTATCATCACATACCATAATCCTCTTTCATCTGCAGCAAAAATCATTGGATTGCAATCAAAACCCACACCGATGACCATTCTCTCAGAAACAAATAAGACCTGGAGACGCCCATGTGTTGATTTAATTATCAATATAAATAAATATAACAATAAAGGAAGAAGTAGAATAGCTGGCGAATGGATGCTGACCCACATCACGGAGAGGCAAATCGCGGAATGCTATAGTTTGAGCAGAAGGAGCAGGACCAACTTCATCAACAAAATAGATCATCGAATTATGACCTGAGGAGATGTCCAAATTAAGAGTACATGAGAAAAGTTTGTAGAACGCTACACCAAAGTTTAACTGCACTACCAATAAACTATAAAGAGATAAAAGTATATATATGGAAGTAATTATAAATCAGAATGAAGTCAAGCAGTAATATATATATATAATATATATATGTACATGCAAGAGCACTAAATAATACACCTCATTTCAAACCAATGCTTGAAAGTAATCTAATGAATGAAACAATGAAACTACATAAAATGTCTAATCTAGCTGTCCTGAGGAATAGAAGTTGCAGCATCTGAGCTCATGGCAAGTTGAAAATAATGAGTTTCTTGAAAGTACAACAGAAGGTAAAATATCACTGACCTACATAGGCCAACGTATTCCCACTTGGGGACCATTTGACACCAAATGCCCAGCAAAATGAGAGATCAAGTTGAACAATTTGCTGCTCCAACACAAGAGGAAAACCAAAAAATAAATAAATAAGTATAGCACAAAAAATAAGGATTTATCTTCCAGTCAAACACATGAACCATGCAAACCAAAGCATAAACTGCAATCGAGAACAATTTATTCACAAGATAAACAAAAATATAAGTACGCTTGGCTGGTAATAGTAGCTACCATGGTTTTAGACATCAATCAAAACATATAGTCATCTTAACATATCACAATTCATAACAATCCTATATACCAATTTCCCACCTTTTCTGCTTCCACAATACCTGGATGTCAATATTTTTAAATTTATTTAGGGATATTTTTAATTGTAAATATTTTTTTCTTTTTTTGGAGGGGAAAGAACTGAAAATTTAAAATTTATCAACACAAAAAAAAAAAAAGAAAAAAAAAAGGTTCTAAAAATTTAAAATTAGTAAAACTTGTATTTAACTAATAAATAGAAAATTTTAGTTCCCATTTTAAGTGAAGATCATTCCCTTCGCGATTTCTAAATTTCCTTTTATTTTGATTTTATTATTTTTCCAAAGTTTGATAGTTAATATTTTTAATGTGTTGAACATGTATGGAAACTTTTTTCTAATAAATATGTACAATTCTTTCTCCCAGAAATTTGAATTACACTTTGAGAAAAAATTTAAACAGTTCAAGGGCTATGCTAGAAAAAGTCAATATACCGCTTATAATGCATATGGTGCCTCTGAGACAAAATGATGTGAAGGCAGAAACTATTATGGTTTTTTATTTTTATTTTAAAAAAAAAAAAATTTAAAAAAGGATGTGCACCTCTTTATACCATCTCGGTGGTGCTTCATTAAAGTCGCCTAAAAAGACCAAATTAGGCCCACATGGACCAAGCCCGCTCCAATGCCCATAACCAATATTTTTAACCTCGTGGGTAGGACTTGTGCTTTTAAGAATCTAGAATGGCCTGGCACAAGCCCAGCTCATTGACTACTCAAAACCTATTAGGCCTAGGCCTGGGATTAGGATGGACTTGGGTCTTAAATTTTTGGGATGGCCCAGCCCATTGCTTATGCTTACTTAATTTCCATAATAAAATGTCTTTTTATCACTATGTTCCCACTATCTGCATCCTGATTTCTCAAAAATTGTCATGTTGATGCACACATATCATGCCCTTGTCATGTTTTTCGTATCTATAAGTTCCCATGTAAAAAAAAAAAAATTATTTTTCGTGGTTTTAATATCTATTCTACATTTCATTTCTTGGCTATACTACAATCCAATACGTAGCTAGGAAGCTTCCAACTTCCTTGTATTGTGAAATTAAAGATGAATGTAGTGCCAATGTCAAAAAAAATCAAAATCAAAATCAAATCTTTCACCCACTTGGAGTTTTTTTTTTTTTATTGGCACCGGGGTGTCCAGATCAAAGCCTGACTAATCCGCTGGGGTGCACAGTCCCTCAGCAAGGAATTTCCCGCAAGTGTATCATGGTTAATTCAAAGGTTTTTCCCAAAACCGATGACCCCAAAGAATTGTCAGCACCTAAGAGGTTTTGATCCCCGAACCTTAGCCTGACTAATCCCCAGGGGTGCACAGTCCCTCAGCAAGGAATTTCCCGCAAGTGCACCATGGTTAATTCAAAGATTTTTCCCAAATCCGATGACCCCAAAGAATTGTCAGCACCTAAGAGGTTTTGATCCCCGAACCTTGGAGCGAGCACTACCCCAAGACCCAAGGCCTTGCCACTAGGCCAACTCCTTAGGATTATTTTTGTTTAGTATCAACAATTGTATTCCATCCATAAAGGTTGCAGAAAACTCTGTCCTATGCCTATTGACAAGCTCCGATAGACTTTTTTTCTTCAAGTTTCAATACTAACTCATTCTACCCATGGAGAATCGAAGGCCTTAGTTGCTCATACCTAGGGCTACAAATGAACCGAGCTGTTCATGAACAAGCTCGGCTCGGCTCGGCTTGGCTCGTTAAGGGCTCGGCTCGGTTCGTTTAGTAAACGAACCGAGCTCGAGCTCGATTATTAGGCTCGTTTAGTAAATGAGCCGAGCTCGAGCTCACATCAGCTCGGCTCGTCAAACTCGATTCGTTTATCTTTATTTAAATTATATAATAAATATCTTATATATATATATTTTTATATAAATTGTTAAAATCTACCATCACCTACTCCACCTACTACACCTACCACCACCTACTACACACCTACCACTACCACCTACTCCACCTACTCCATTACATCTCCTATATAAGGAACCCCTCACCATTTGTAATATACAATATACAACAATCAATAATACAATCATTTCTCTTTATACATTAAGGCCAAGTTTGGCATGCTTGAAAAAAGACAAAAAGTCAAAAAGTCACTATCTTATTTAAGTCACATCATCTTATTTAAGTCACATCACCTCTCTAACACATCATTTCAAACCTATATAAGGAACCCCTCACCATTTGTAATATACAATATACAACAATCAATAATACAATCATTTCTCTTTATACATTAAATTTCTACATGGTATCAGAGCAAGGTTAAGAATCTCATAATTTCGTTTTACCGGTGGGCGGCAGCCTCGCCTTGACCGCCCGCCGGACCTGCAAAAGACCCAGCGATTAAGCTCAACGGACGGTGTTTTTTGGGTTCTTATTTACCACTGTAGTTGGATCTGCAATCTCCTCCGGAGGAATAGGCCGGAGATTAATTATTGCAGTGCGCACACACTCGCTCACCACAAACGAAGATGGACACGAAGTTCGCCGGAAAGTCCATCGCCGCCGTACACTCCGGCCTCACCGACATCGATCAGATGGCGGACATAAAGAGAGAGAGAGAGGAGGGAGAGGGGCGAATGGAGGAGGCAGTTGTGAAGGTGAACATAAAGTTCGGCGGAGGATCCATACCTGTGTCCTTCTCTCTTGATTCCAGCGTCAGAGATCTCAAATCTATACTCCAACCCCTCACCAATGTCCTCCCTCGCGGTCAGAAGCTCATCTTCAAAGGGAAAGTTCTGCTGGATGAACTCACTTTGAGGTCGTCCCAGGTCACCGATGGGGCTAAGATCATGCTCATGGCTTCCCAAGGTTTACACCAAGGGGATGGTCCCATTAGGAAGGAAGCACCGGCTTCATCGAATTTGAGGCGGATGGCCGATGCAAATCGAGGCAAGGAGGTGAAAAGGGATGATATTGCTGCTGTTGCAAAGCGCCAGTTTGAGCGTTGGAAAGCTACTGGGGTTATAGCATTGTCTGAATGCAACTTGAGGGCTATACCTGATGAAGTATGGACTTGTGGACCTTCTGCGAGGGTACTTGATCTCATTCCTCTCTTTCCTTTCTTTTTATTTTAATATTCACATCCACTACATTTTATCTTTCAAATAAAGCAGCTGTCTGATCCCACCGCCCATCACAGACTTATTTTATCTTATTTTATTTTATTTTAACCCCCTCATCATATTTTATCATCATCATTTTTCCCATCATCATATTCTACCCCATTCTTTTCTTTATCACACCTATCTTTATCTCTTTTCTATGCAACTCCCACCAGCGCATATGCTTTCTACATTCATATATTATTATTATTATTATTCTTATTATACAAAAAAATAAAAAAATAAAAAAAAAATAACACAAAACTTATTTTTTCTTTCTTTATTTTTCTTTCACATTATTTTTAATCTTTTTCAAATTCCATTCATACCATCTAGATTTGCACACCAAACCTTGTTTTATTCATCTCCGGAATCTACTTCCATCGCGTTCCCACCAGAGAGTTACCAACAAACACAAAAAAAAAAAAAAAAAAAAAAAAAACAAAAAAAAAAACAGAAAAAAAAACAATCGGACAAAAACAAGTGTGTGAGAGAGAGAATCACAGAGACGACACACAAATCCCCACAGAAGCACACACCCAACAACACCATAACCAAATAGAACAAGAACAAACACTAAAAAAAAACGAAAAGAAAAGAGGGTAAAACTTACCAAAGAGCAAATCAGTGGGTAGGATGATGAAGGGGAGGAAAAATCTTCCACAATGCAGCCACACGACAAACCCTAGATCGAGAGGATGAAACAATAAGAGAAAAAAATACCTCGAAGAGTCAACAGAGGGAGTTAAGTATGAAACAGGTACGCTCGAGCGTACTAAGTACCGCTCGAGCGTACAATACTGCAAGCAGACTCCCGCTCGAGCGTGAAAAATACCGCTCGAGCTCAGAAAACCATCTCTCAGAACTGCCAAAACACGAACAAACTGCTGCAAGAGTGAAAAACACGCTCGAGCGTAAAACAGTCCGCTCGAGCGGAACAAAACAAAACAAAAAAAACATTTTTTTTTTTTTTAAAAAAAAAAAAAAAAAACAATCCAATACTCAAAATCAAGAGGTGAGACCTGAAACAAAAATAGATGATCAGACTGAGCCAAATGAATACTAAGATGAAATAATCCACAATTCATGAATCGTGTGAACTTGCACCGTTTTTATCTTAAAAAAAAACGACACTGGAAATCATGAGCATAGCAGAAAAAAGATTGGGCACGCCTTTTGATGGCACGCCTTTTGACAGATTGGGCACACCTTTTGAGGGTGCGACTTTTTAGGGGTCCGACAAGACTCTGTAAACTGTCCCGACATTGATTCCGGTTAGTTTCTACAAGGGTCCAGCAAGACCCCGTAAACTATCACAACAACTGTCACAACATTGTCTGCTACAACGGTCCGACATGACCCCATAAATTGTCTTCTACATCGGTCCGACACGAGCCAATGTCTTCTACATCGGTCTGCCATAACCATACAGTCTTCTACAACGGTCTGACACGACCATACAGTGTCTCCTATCCATTTTTTATTTTTTCAGATTATTTTCTTGTTTTGTTACTCTCTCCAAACTCAAGTTGGTTAGTTCCTATCCCCCTTGAGTTTGCGGGGGGCTGTTAAAATCTACCATCACCTACTCCACCTACTACACCTACCACCACCTACTACCACCTCCTACACACCTACCACTACCACCTACTCCACCTACTCCACTACATCTCCTATATAAGGAACCCCTCACCATTTGTAATATACAATATACAACAATCAATAATACAATCATTTCTCTTTATACATTAAATTTCTACATAAATAATATTAAAAAAAAATTATCGACCCAAGCTCGAGCTTCATTAATGTTAACGAGCCGAGCCGAGCCGAGCTCGAGCCTAGTTTCTTATCGAGCCGAGCTCAAGCTTAATAAACGAGCTCGACAAGCAAACGAGCCGAGCTCAAGCTCAGCAAAGCTCGGCTCGGCTCAGCTCAGCTCGACTCAGTTCATTTGCAGTCCTACTCATACCATAATTAATCATACCAAAACCTTTAATATGACTGAGACAAAGAAATATAGATAACATATAAACATAAGGGATATAGATAGAACCTCTCCAAATTTTGAATCCGTTGTGGATCTTGTTCCTGAATCCCTGTTTTATTGCCAAATAGCAACATACATAATTTAGTACAAGTATTTCAAGGACAACATTAATTAGCAAAACCAAGAATGCTCCACAACCTTAGTAAACATACCTTGTATCAACACCTTTTATGAAAGTGGAGAAGACTCGGCATTTTCCATCAGTAGAAGTTGTAGCAAGGAGAATCTAACAACCAGAATACATAAATTTCTCTTACCATGTACACAAGAAAACCAGAATTTCTATGTACATAATCTCTTTTATATTTTTTGCTTTTGTTATTTAACTTCTATTGTCATAATCTCTCCAAACATTCCGTATTTTTTACTTTTTTTGGAACAGAGGAAGTGTGTAGAAATACAATTGAATAAATTAGGCATGATTGATAATGGGATAACAAACTAAAACAAAACATCAAACAAGAATCTTATTAACAAAACTTCCTTACATCATGTACACTCTCTGCACTATAGAAAGCAACCAGCCACTTTTTTACTACAGTACGATTCTCAATGGCGAGGGCGGGAGACCAAGAGCCTTATAGAAGAGTTTAAGGTTGGGAGCAGGAGTGGGCTGGGGTAGGGGCAGGGTTCCAGATCGAGGAGCTATGCCCCTATAGGATTTCTTGCTACTAAGGTTCAAATATGCCTACATGTGATTATGTCACATCCATCTATGTAACAAGAAATGGCATAGAGAAATGAACCCTACTAACCCCACGAGATCTCAAATTTTCTTTACAGGAAGCATTGGTTTAGAATTAGACTTCAACCTCTAAAGACGTCAAAGTGACAAATGTAAATCATGCATGGTCTTTACAAACAGAATCTAAATATGAATATCCACCAGAATGACATGGCAAAGGCACATTCATGAAATAAAATGAACATCAAAATCACTGTCATTTTGTACATGAATTCTGATTAAAGATTTTGTTTGTTTAGCATTAATTGGTACAAAGATAGATCCAAAGTGGTTTATAGGAATATACGCACATTATTAGGATGCCAAGCAACACTTGTCACAGAAGAATCATGTCTTTTCCTGATAAGCTTACTGACCCACCTGAAGAAATGCATCCGACATACACAAACAATTAAAGTTAGTAGTCAGAATTACAAGATAAACTCCATATACTGTAATCATTAAATAGATTAACTTTAGTATCATTCCGGAATTATTTGCATTGCTAAAACCATTACACATGCAATTTACTGGCACTCAAGCATATTTCTACAACAAAAACCACCTAAAGCTCTCTTCAACCACCAAAAGAGAGAGATTGGAGGGGAGCTAGCGTAGGGAAGACAAGGAGAAATGCTTGGTTTTTGCTGCCAATAGCTTTGATGGGGATTGTTGGGGTGAGGGCCACATGATTTTTGATGGGAATGTAGAGCCTAGTTTTAGATTGAAGAGTAAAATTTTATCCTTCTAGTACAATTGGTTCTTGAGAAATAGTGATCCATCCTTTAACCAATTCTTGGATGCTGTAGAGGGCTTTGAGTGATTGCATATTTTTGTATATGGGTTGCATCCCCTTGGTGCCTCTTTTTTATAATAGCTTTACTCATCAAAAAATATATTTGGAAGCTTAATGTAAAGTTGCTATTACAGTATTGTGGTTGTCCTCAAATATACGGCAGAAGATTATTGTTATATTTGATTAAGCCCAAGGAAACAGTGGGTTATTTTCACTTATAAAAAAAATGGTGGATTTTTAATAATTTCCGCAGTTGTTCATCAAGAATTTCATTACTCGATTCTTCACAAACAACTAGGACTATCCAACCACCTTTGCAAAGGAAACTAACCTTCCAGTCCTCTTGCAAATTATTTGTTGATGTTAAAGAGGACTGTCGCTGAGGATCTTGCATTCATGTCCAAGTTAAGTAGCGATTGATGTATTAGGTCAAACAAAACATTACATGTTGATGAGACTCTTCTCTCATAATTCTTTTACTCTGGTGTTAGGTATTATGTCCGCCAAACCCCCGGTTACTAGGTTGTGCCTTACTGTTGTAATATATATATATATATATATTTTTTGTAATTTTAGTAGTGGTCCATGCAACCACCCACCTAGGCACATGGTGCTATCTCTTAAGTAACAATCAATAGAGAAAGAAAGAAAAAGACCATAGGTAAAGGCCACCTCAGTTTCAACCTGTGTAAGTTTACTGTGATGCAATCTTGATATGTCTCCTTTGTCATAACTAAACTTACGAGTACATGAAGAGCCACACATCAATTTGATATTTCTCATATAAAATCCATCAAGTCCACCAAAGATCTATATTTATCATTTTCAGATTCTAAATACTATATCAAGGTCTTCTGTCTTTTTTTTCCCCATTTTTAACAATTACATTAGGAAAATAGTTTCATGGTTAATATTTGTCCTCAACACGACGAATCAACTCAATTGTCTAAAATTTAGCTGATGTCATGATCTAATTATTCACTCTCTTGTCTCTCCAAATACATTACAACATGACTCATGAGCTTGATTCCACAATAACAACCACAAAACCAAATTATGTCAAAAGTCATACAAGTATAAGTATTCTGAATGATTTTCCCCTATCTTTGAATTCTTAGTATTCATGATCTTACTGAACACATCAAGTCGGTTTAATTCTAGCCCCTAACCCTAAGACTACGAACTTCAGTCCAATGCAGATCACTAACACCAGCCAATAAAGATCGAAGTGTGATCCACATTAATTATATCAAACATTATAAGGTTAGTATTAGCAATATCTTTTTACGCAAGAGGGAAATTCATGGAATTGTATTTGGAAAAAAAAAAAAGTGCAAGCATATAGTTAGATAAAACCCTGGCAAACCACAGGCATCCAGAACAGAAGTTGGGGATAAAGTGGCAAAAACGCATGCTAATTACCAGTTATTCTCTTGCTCATAGTAGCAAATGCAAACAGTTTTAGCCCCACTTCCAACAGCAAACTTGTTTTCTGAAAGAAAAGTCAATGAAATTGATAAGGATCGGGAGCAGGTTCTAAATCTAGTGACACATCATCTAACAGAAGAGTCATTCGAAAAGTTCCATGATTCATGAACATCAATGTATGAACTGAATTCAAATATGGCCACGGAACAATCATTCAACAACTCTCGAACTTCTACACATGGATGATGCTAAAATCATGGACACGTGGTTTATATTTGATGAACTATATACACAATCATGAAGATATGAGTATAAAAGAATCTTGGACCATCGTATTTATTGATCAAGTAAAGTTGGTAAATGATAAGCATTGGCCTAATTATACACCAAACAACAAGCTTCCTTCTTCATTCATGAATAAATAATTATCAGGTGTTGAAGAAAGTTGCACCTACATAATGAGTTTAATAATAGTAGTTTAATAATAATAGTAGTTGGAGAGAGTTAGCAGGACAACTCTATGAGAGCCAATATAACTGAATAAATAATAAAGGCTAGTCGTTAAAAAAGAACAAATAAATAAATAAAGGAGAGGAGTTCCATATTTATAATCCAATCCACACAAAACATAATAGTAGTTTAATAATATTAAATACTAACTCTTGCAATGTCATGTAGTTTCTCAGTAGATAAAAAACAATACTGCATTCTTCCAAAACTCTCTTTTTTTTCTTCTTTTTTTCCTTTTTGATCAGCAACAAAAAGACTAATTAAGAGTTTTGGAACCAAAATTTGGAGAAGATATTAGTTGTTTGAGAACTCCAGAATGATTGAAATCTATGCTTACACACTCGAAAAACGACTTCTATTTAGGACAACCTAACTTTTAATGAATTAATTGAATCTTTTTTCCCTAATTCACCTCTATAGATTAAGCTTTTAAGAGTTCTTGTCAAGCTAGGCACAAAGACTATTTGCATTTGTTATCCAACAACTGGTACCATTGAAGTACATCACTCATAATGACCTCATAAACCTTCACCTTGCACTCCACAAGGGTTTGACTGCAGCCAATTGCACTCAGCTCCTAATAAGAAGAAAATAAATCACAAGCATACCAGCGGTCCCACCTATATGCGCTACATCAATTTTTATTAGCAACTTCAATCATATCTAGGGCCATACCATCATGTTATAGGCAAAAATACCTTCTTTAAACACCTCAACCATGTCCCTTTTCACCTTCTCAAGCAATTAAGCTGAACCATGTCATTCTTACCTCTGTTACATGGACTCTTCTACTTCCCACAATCTACACATGTCCTCCAAATATGACAAGGGTAAGGGTGTGCGTTATGCATTTGACACTCGTACCCAATTTAGACACTTGGATCCTCTAATTTTATATGATGTTTGACAAAGAAGACATACACATTTGCTAGTACACAAACATTTCTAGCTTCTCATACAAATGATATATACATTCCATATTTTTCCTAACTTCCATTTAATATAAGTACATTTCTAAATAAACTAAAACATCTTAATTAAAAATACTATACAATATGTAATATATATATATATATATATATTAAGACAAATCTCTGTACCCATACCCAACTTTTAGATGCATCCTTTACTCCATCACCAGTTTCTTTCACAACCATCCTTTACACACTATGGTCAATTATCAATAAAACTTACGGTAAAATTTCACGAAGCTAACAATAAGCAAATAAAACGCATGTTATTATAAATCAGTGCACAAAACAAATCGTTTCAATTTCTTGAGTTTAGGGTCCTCTAGATAGTGAGACGTGTAACAACATCAAACAAACAAAATACAATGATAAAAGGAGGTTGGTAGCACTAATTAGATATACTGAAAAAAAGAATCACCTATGTGCATCATTCAGGCAAAAGACAAAAGACTATAATAATAATCATAGTTTTCAAATCGTGAATCCAATTGTTAATCGAAATGGCCTTGTACCGAATCGCGAAGTGAATCGAATCGAATCGAATCGTGAATCGTAAAGATTCGGTCAGTTTTCTAAATTACTTAGAAAAATATATTTACACACTTTATAAATATAAAATATTTAGACTTTAATCAATGAAAAATTTATTTTGAATGATGATAACGTGGTCTAATATGTAAGAAGTTAACATACGTTCCCATGTGAAATCACCATCTTACTTTTTTCCTTTTTAAGATATTGCTTATCAACCATTCTTAATAAAGAAAGTAAATAGAGATAAACTCTCAGTTTTCAAGTAACAATAACTTAACAACGATGTTAATATTTTATAAGCATATATACATTTAGAAGTAACAATAACCCAATAATAAAGAACTTGTAAGATACATTAAATGGACTCGGGTACGAGTGTCGGGTGTGCTAGTATGTATCTAGGAGTCGGACTTAGCAAACCTCCAAATGAGGAGATACGCGGGTACATCTAAAAAGTACCCAAAAATTAGACACGGGTACATGGATACGGTTAAATATGAATGTGTCAAAAAAATATTATGTATTTTTTTTAATAAAATTACAATAATTTATTGCTCTGAATGTTTACATATTTTGATCTCTCCAAGCATATTGTTTTTGGACTAATAAGATATTTTCATCTCCAATTTCATAAGATTGTTTTAAAAATTAGACTTATTTTGACCTCTCTCTCTCTCTCTCCAATCTAAAAGACGATAATAATAAAAAGCTCTCTCATTAGAGAATAGTTGACTCTCCCAACTCCAATCTCACATCACCAATGGCTTTTCTCGGCACCATCCCAACTTTAATCTCACGTCACGGATGGCTTTTCTCAACAAGAGGGTGTGGGTCAAGTGCACAACAATGGGTTATGAACTCTCACCATCGCCGTCACCGTCACCGTCGCCGGTCAACTCTCACCATCTTGTATCTTGTAAGTCACTCAACAATCCTTCACTATCCCTCATCCCAGCTGTATCCCACACCCGTACCCATGTCGTGTTGTGTCAACACAGGTACCTCTCCGAAAACAAAGAGTCTGTGTAACATAGCTTGCAAAACTATTAGATTTAACTGAGCTCACCCATGTAATATTGAAGTATTTTTATTTCAATAAAATAGCAATAGATAATTCATATTGCAAGTTACTTTAACATTAAACATCTTTAGAATATATATTATGATTAATGATTAAAAGCATGTTGGGTCTGACTGAATCTGATTGAATCCTATTAAAAACTAAATAATCTCAAAAACTAAATAATCTCTAAAATAACAACAAATCATATATATATATATATATATTGGTTATTTTCGTACTAAACACTACTAGAAGTTGTATTATGTCATTTTAACTAAAAAATGGAGAAAAAAATATTCAAAATGTGTCGGACTTGATAGTTTCAAGAATCAATTGTGAATCAATTATGAATCGTAAAAAGTAAATCAAATCATGAATCAATTATGAATTGTGCGATTCAGTAGAGATTTACTTTCAAAATAGATTCACTCATAGGTTCATATCAAATTTTCAAAAATTGCGACTCGAATCGCGAATTGTAAGATTCTAATAACAGAAATAATAATAATAATAATAAAATAAATAAATAGAGAGGGAAGAAGAAGAAGAAGAAGAAGAAGAAGAGGCCCCAAAAAAATCAGTACTCAATGTGAAAATCTGAGAAGTGACGAGAAATATACAACAATACCTCTTGGACTCCACTGAACACAAAGTGCTGCACGGTTGAGCCTAAGAATAACTAGGGTTGGCACCCAGTCCACTCCTTCTTGGTTCCAAACATATCTGGAAGACAAGGCATACTTCTTACAACGTAGATTCAAATAATTAAAAATTCTTTTTTTCTTTTTCTTTTTTCTGGGGAGAGGAAGTAAAAGAACACACCACCACCACACACACACATTCACAGATAGAAGGGCATGCAAACATATGGGCCTTGTTTGGTTTGTATTTGAGAAACATGTTTTGAGATAAAAAGTACGAAAATTTGTTTGGTTTGAATTTTTTTCAAAAGATGTTTTGAAAAATTATTTTGAGAGAGAGTTTTGGAAAAAGTTATTGATTTGATGTGTATGAGAGAGAGATTTGTTTGAAAAATTTGTAAACCAAACTAGTTTTGGAAAAAAATTTTGGAAAAATTTGTTTGGTTTGATTACTTTTAAAAACTTATTTGTAGTGAATTTTTCCAAAATTTTTTTGAGAAACACAAACCAAACGAGGCCATGAATTTTAATACCATCTTTTGTATCTATAACTATTAAGTCTAAGAAAGAACTTTACAACATTTTGAAATGAGCAGTCACTCACGAATTTCGATCATGAGATACGGTAACTATTCTGTTGGACTTTGCACTCCAATCTATCCCAGAAACAATTTGGTCATGCTGTGAAGAAAAAGAAAAAAAAGAGCCAGGAACATCATTTGGAGAAAGTTACCATCCAAATTAAATGAGTAATCAAATCATGAACAGAAAATAAAAATTCCATTACCAACGGGGTAACATGTATGCATAGAACTAATTGATGTGGGTTACATGCATGTGTTGTATACCGTAACAATGAGAATAAGCAAATAAATTAAACAAGAAATCCAAGTGAATATACCTTTTGAAGAACATGTATTCTCTCCCACTTCTCTTCTACTATTCTATAAATGTGAACTTCATTATTGTTTGGACAAAAGGAAATCACTGCAAAGGCCATAAGCATATATCACAAATCTATAAAATATGAAAACACCATACAAGGCTAAAAAAGAATGATACAAGATACAACCCCATATAACTGTTCCAAAGAGAGAAAATTGTGTTTAAAAAATAAAAATAAAAAAGTATGTAAATTATACAAATAAATAAAGCAGCAGAATGATATATTAAAATTGACTGCTCATTCTAAGATGTGAAAAGAAAAAAAGAAAAAAAGAAACGAAAAAAAAAGTGCACAAACCATACTACATAACTGCAAAAGCTCACCAGCTTTCACAAACACAAATAGTCAAAATGAATAATGGTTTCCAGTTATTATTTTATTGCTAGAGTGGCTCTTCCTATAATTCTATTATCATAAGGCTCTCGGGGTATAAGATTCAAGTTATCTTCAGAGACTGATGCAAATCTGACGTAAGATTGTGAGATGTTAAACAAAAGGATTTTGCAAAAACTAAAGAGTTCATATAAAAATGTTAAATTGTTTTGACGGGACAGAATAAAGTTTATGCTGTGGAGATGCTATAAATTGCTACAAACAATATCATTATGCCCTGAAGAATCTCTCACCTATTCTGAGAATATTTGTGGTGTAATGAACTGAATAAACATATTTACAGGTTCCATAGTGCTTAGGTGAGATGTGGTGGTGTACTTTACTGAAAATAGGAAATGAAAGGCAAGCAACTGGTTAAGATATCATACAATGAAAAAATGATGGACAGCGGATGAAAATATCAGACAAGGTTTCAAGTAACGGTGCAGTAGCTATAACGGTAATGGTAGCACTGATGCGATTGTTGGGTGTAATGGGCGTAGTGTAATGGTCGCGCAGTGTAATGGGCGTAGCATAGCAGTTGCGCGGTGTAATAGGCGTAGCATAACAGTTGCGGCAATCGGAGCCATGAAATTTTTCATTTTTCGCACATCTTCCAAAAACTTATTGATATGCATATTTTTATTTCAAATGACTACATATGGAAGCTTCACAATTTATGACAATTTGGCCTCATCAAGTGTCATTAAGTAGAGCATAAGAAAAGCCCAAAATGTAAATGAAATCTAGCAAAGGGAAACCAAGTATGAAGTATGCAATTTACAATTGTACGGCCATATTTTGATTGCCCCTGAAACATTGAGGGAAGATAACATAAAAAATAAAAATAAAGGATGCATAGGATAGAAGTTTAACACACTGTTCCTACAATTTGCCTACACTATTTTTCAATAACATAGAGCTTTCCCTATCATTCCCGAGTTTTCAAAAAACTAAATTAATGGCATCAGCCAGCCAAATTTAGAATTCAGAACTGTAAGAACAAAATTCTTAAAACCGGGTATCTAATGACATCAAATGCCAGATAATTAATATGCAAGCACCAAAGGCATTAATGCTTAACAATAAACTCTAATCAATGGGACATTCACATAAATTAATACGACATGATTTTCAATCCCGTGCACTAGATGGAATTAATTGCCCCTAGAATCCAGATCAATGGCACACCCAAAAACTTTTAATTGCAAGTAAAATCAACAAAAGGCACAAATAACAATGCAAACAAACCCACAGTTATAACAAAATTAAACTGACTTGACTTGACTTTTAGTAAGACAAAAGGGATCACAACTAATAGAGATGGTATGAAATCTAATGCAATAAATAAGGTAAAACATGCATTTCACATAAAAGAGATATGATAACATTAAATTTATGTTGAAAAGAGGCTAAATGTTATGTTAATTAAAACCTTAAACCCAATAATTACACCAAACATTGTCCTAAACCTCAAGAAAAGTTAGTGTAATTTACCCAAGAAATATTGATTAGTACTATTATACAGGGTAACAAGTCCAACATCCTCAGGTAACATTTCATAGATTTTACAGTAGCAATCAACCTAATTTTTTCCACATAAGGAACCCATTACCATTTTGATCAAGGTTCAATACATTGATGATAAAAACATAAATATACATACATATAAATATGGAATGGAATGGAATGGAATAAAGAGAGATTAGAAGAGAAGGAAGTACTGGAGTAATCTGGACTCCAAGCATGGCAAGTTATGCACTGAGCAAACTGATGAACTGAAATTGCGGACATTTTTTTTTATCTGCAACAATAGAATCATATCAAATTCAAATTGTTAGATCTTGATGAGATCTATAATAACTGTTTCAGCTCATGTAAAATATGAATATACAGAGTATACATAGTGATAGAAACGAAGAAGAAAAGGAGATCGAAAGTGTGTTTGTTAGAATGCGAATTGGGGAGAGATCTGAACCTGGAACCAAGATCCAAATTTAGGCTCTCCCAAAACTAAATTCGGAGAGAGAAGCCTGCAGGAATGAGCGACACGATCGAAAAAGATTTGGGAATAATCTACTATTTATTTACTATTCCTAATAATCTACTATTTATTTACTATTCCTAAATTTTAGGGTAGGTTTGGCCTAACACAAAAAATTCACAGCATTTTATTTATATTACATTATTTTTCTATTATATCACTTTTAATTTAATATATATTTCATAAAAAATTAAAAATTATACTTATTTAGATCATTCCAAACAACCCTTTATTTACGGGGGTAGGCGTAACCAAAAAAAAAATTAAAAGATCAAAAAAAAATTAAAAAGTCATTATTCTATTTAAGTCACAGTATCTTATTTAAATCACATCATTTCTCTATCATATTATTTCTAATCTAACACATTTTTTATAAAAAAACAAAAATTATACTTATTTAAATCATTCCAAACAACTCAAGTTTAGGCTTTAATTAACTAAATTTCTCATAAATTGTGTTTGGTTTAGAGATTTAAGAAGAGATTTTAAAGAAAATATAGGTGAAATATAAATAAAATATACTTCTATTTTACTTAATTTTATACACTTTTTTTCTTTCTTTCACAAATCCTCCAATCAAATACAATATAAATAAACAGCAAATTAAATTTTAGTTATAGAGGTTAACACCTCATTTCAATCTATAAAAAAAAAATACATAAATAAATAAATAAACATCTTATTAAATTATTATAAAAAAAATCTCAAATCAGTTGGATGATAGGAAAAAAAATCATCCTTATGAAGTGTATATAGATCTTTTCTTATATATAAGTATAAATTTGTTATAGATCTTTTCTTATGAAGTGTATATAGATCTTTTCTTATATAAGTATATATATAAGTATAAAAAAAATCATCCTTTGAAAATTCTACTGTGTGTGTTCCTTGAAGGAGGTGTACGTATCATTTGTATTTCTAGTTATATCATTTTATTTTTTAATTATTACTAATTTTTCTTTTTAATTATACCTTATGAGATTTTTAGTTATGTCTTTAGTTATGATTTTTTATTTTATTTTAATTATGACTCAAAAAATATAAAATTACACCCTTTTTTTTTTAATTTACAAGGTGTATATGATATACACTCGCTGGAGAGTGTGCACTATAATCTTCCCGTTATTTTTCTTTGTCAAATTTACATCCAAAAATTCATTATGCATTGTGCGATTTATTTTACACAATATAAGCAATTGTCCCAAATTATAAATAGGTCTTTATTTACACCATTGACAACAAAGTAATAGGGAACTTTTTAATTTTTTTATGATGGAACTTAAATAATAAGGAACCTAATTTTGGAGTAGTTGTTACTCTAATATCACGATTAACAACTGTCGGTATCCATATAAAGAAAAGGACAGATTTCACTAATAAACCAAGTAAATCAATTTTTTAATGTAGTCCTTGTTATTTGAATCATAATACATTTAGTTATTTTTATTTTGTATCAATTAATCCAAATGTCAACAATCAATTTTTAAGAGCAAATAGGTTCTTTATATTTTATTTTTTGCAAAAACAAAACAAAACAAAAACATATTTCTTGTTTTGTATCATGTACAAGATTGGGGCTCTATATGGCTCTTCTATGAAAAAAATTGATTTTTTTTTCCGACACAACATTTTAGTTAACTGGTGTTCGTCCTTCATGCTTGGGAATTTTTCCTCTCCAAACTAAACACCTGGAGGTGTACGTATCATTTGTATTTCTAGTTATATCATTTTATTTTTTAGTTATCACTAATTTTTCTTTTAATTATAATTTATGGAATTTTTAGTTATGTCTTTAGTTATGATTTTTTATTTTATTTTAATTATGACTCAAAAAATATAAAATTACACTTTTTTTTTTTTAATTTACAAGGTGTATATGATATACACTCGGTGAAGAGTGTATACTATAATCTTCCCATAATTTTTTCTTTGTCAAATTTACATCCAAAAATTCATTATGCATTGTGCATTTATTTGACACAATATAAGCAATTGTCTCAAATTATAAATAGGTCTTTATTTACACCATTGACAACAAAGTAATAGGGAATTTTTTAATTTTTTTATGATGGAACTTAAATAATAAGGAACCTAATTTGGAGTAGTTGTTACTCTAATATCACGAGTAACAACTGTAGGTATCCATATAAAGAAAAGGACAGATTTCACTAATAAACCAAGTAAATCAATTTTTTAATGTAGCCCTTGTTATTTGAATCATAATACATTTAGTTATTTTTATTTTGTATCAATTAATCCAAATGTCAACAATCAATTTTTAAGAGCAAATAGGTTCTTAATATTTTATTTTTTGCAAAAACAAAACAAAACAAAAACATATTTCTTGTTTTGTATCATGTACAAGATTGGGGCTCTATATGGTTCTTCTATGAAAAAAATTGATTTTTTTTTCCGGCACAACATTTTAGTAAACTGGTGTTCGTCCTTCATCCTTGGGAATTTTTCCTCTCCAAACTAAACACCTGGCGATCCACAAGGAACTTCCATCAATGGTATCATATAGACGGTTGGAAATAATAATACTAAGGATCATGAAAAAAATATCATGAAATATTTCATGAAGATTTTCTATCCCTTGATTACTGTGTGGTGTTTTCTTGTACAGCAATGCTAGGTATCATGAAAAATCTTTCATAAAAATAATCATGAAAACTTCGTGACCGTTGGATTACACTTAGAATAAAACATCGCACACTAATCAAGGTAATCCAAGGATCATAAATTTTTCATGATCATTTTCATGACAAAATTTTCATGATCCCTAACTTTTCCCTTTCTTGTATGTGTAATCTAACGGTAGAGAATCTTTCATGATCATTTTCATTATATTTTTTTCATGATAAGTAACATTAAACAGTTGGAAAACTTAGATCATAAGCTAGACCAAAACAATAAATTTGGCATCGTTCACTAGAAATAAATAAATAAATCACAGTTCATAAGCATCACAACTAAGAAACCAACTTTCTTTTTTTCTTCTAATGTCAAAATTTTCTCTGTTGTGATTTCAACAACCAAATAAATCAACCATTTACGAATTTTGAGATCCCAGTATCTGCAAGAACCAATCAAACTGTTGAAACAACACATTATGTTAGTGAAGGATGTCCAGTGACAGAGAGAGAGGCATAAACTGAAGTTCTAATGCTGTGTAAAATGAGAAGATTAAAAAAAAAAAAAAAATGAAGCTATTAATGACTGCTAGGTAGGATCCCAGACATTTCTTGAAATGCTCAGCAAGCGCAGATTGAGGGTAATGTGCATCACTGATTCAGTTCTCTGTCCCGTCAAGACTTTCAACAGCTACCATGATGACCCACGCTCACTGATTGGTAGTTTTCTCTGATTAAATAAATTTGCTCGTAACCCGTGCCTTTCAGAGGTTGTTTAGTTCCTGCAACACCATTTTGTAAACCCGAAGCATGTGCAATAGATCAAAATCCGATAAAGTATAGGACAGAGATCCCAAAAAAAAGGGCACTTAGAGACCAAATGTGAGAAGTCTAGTCTGAATTGGATGAAAGTAGTTCCTAATTGTGTACCTGGAAATTTTTAAAAGGACCGATAAAGTTCTACATAAGAATAACACAAAGGTCGTGCATCAAGATGTTTGAAACTCATCAATGGAGAAGCCAGTATGTAAAACAAATAAGCAGACTACATTTCATCTGTGGGACACAAATTGAAAAAAAAAAAATCAACAAATACCAAGGAGATGGAAAGATCCAATTCGGCCATGTAAATTTGATGAATTTGGACTAAAAATGGAAAATATATTGATTGCTTATTTATTATGTGCGCCAGAATATAAACGGTCCAGGAAAGGGTGGTAGATGTGGTTAGGGCTGCAAACAAGCCAAGTCAAGCTGAACTTTAGTGTGTTTGGGCTTATTTATTAAAATTTTAACGAAAATGAGTTCGAGCTCGAGCTTATAAAATTTAACGAACCAAACTCGAGTCGAGTTAGCTTAGGTTTGACTCAAGCATGAGCCTATTTACGAACCTTAACGAGCAAAAAAAAATTATAAATTCATATTTATATATGAGACTAAAGTTACAATTAAAATTTCAATTATATAATTATATAAACAATATATAAACATACTAAAAAAAGTCAATATTTTACCAAAATAATAATATCTACCACTACTATTATATAAATGTACTATCTATAGTTAACTATTATTTACATTTATATTTTTTAAATATATAAATAACATATTTATCTTATTTTTTATACATATTTTTACATTTTGAGTGTTTGAGAAATGGGTTTTTATGTAAGTTTTTTTAATTGTAGGATATTATTAGATAAAAAAATTTTAGTGTTTGGGAAGATAGTTGGGTTTTTTTTGTAGTTGGATGTGATGTTTGTGAGAAAAAAAGTGAAATGATTATGGGATTGAATGTGATATTTTGTTTGAATGTGTTTTTTTTGGTTTTGCAAAAAGTTTGTCTTTTAATGGAAAAAATCAAAAAAAAATCCCAAACCTAAGTTCCCAAACACCACCATTATTTAATATATAAATAATAAATGTTAAACGAGCTAGCTAACATGCTGAACTTTAGCATATTTGGGTTTGTTATGCAAAAAAAAAATTAACGAACCGAATTCGAGCGAGCTCTTACCAAGCTGAGCTCGAAACAATTCATGAACGGCTCTGTTCATTTGCAACCCTAATGCCGTTCATGAGATCCATGAAAGTCACAGACTCACAGGCACATTGGTCAACCCAAAAGGCACGACAACAAACTCAAAGTGTCTGTATCATGTCCTAAAGACTGTCCATGGAGATGGAAAGGTCAATTAGGCTATGTAAACTTGATGAATCTAGACTAAAAATGAAAAATATATTGATTGCTTATTATGTGCAAACACCAGAATATTTCAGCACAAGAGAAAAACCAAACAGAAAGGAAACCGCATCTCACCTTCACCATGATAGCCAAGTGGAAACTGCCACCAATGGTAGCATTAATACAAATCCATAGTTGACCAAGGTGTCAACATCTTCAATTTTTTCCATCTTGTCATGAAATGTAGCCATCATGCGTGTAAAAGGACAAGCAACCTCTTGATCCTACAACATGCATCGCTTGCCCTCAGTATCATCACCACCCATATAACAAAGTAAGGTTCACAAGTGCGTGCAGCTGAATTTTGATAGGACACTTTTTTCTTGGAAAGAATTTGACAGAACTCACCTTTTTGTTTGAGTCATTAATTTCTTTCTGGCCATTTGAATTTAAAGATGCTGTCTGGTCATGCAGGCTGGCTGATGGATCAAACGGCATTTTGATTTTATCCTTGTGGGACTCTCTGCCTGAGAGGGCTCTATAAGATGAATCAGTGTGAATAGTTTCCATGACTGAACCAAAGAAGTTTGTGACAGGAACCTAATGAGGTGGGGATGGCAAATTAGTAAGAATTTCCTCCAATTAGATCAATTTATTTTAGAAGGAATGCTTAATCTTGGTTGGTTTATAAGAACCCCAAGCCCACTACATAATAGTACAGCTCATATAACCTATGGCATGTGGATGGATCTCAAAAATTGTCATTAGCATTTTATGCAAAAAGAAACTACTAGAATGTCTGGGATTTTGGAAAGTGTTATAGGACCAAAAAAATTATCCAACCCCTTCCCCAAGAAAAAAAATTAAATAAAAATTTTGAGGAACCTTTTCTTATAAAGCTGTAAGCTGTGCTTGTTTTATGCAGATTTCATCAAGCAAGGAAATATTTGACAACCAACATTGTTCATAAGATTCCTTTTCAGAAATGAGATACCGACAGAGGCTAAAGGTAATGGAAGTTCTTGATTATAGAAAGATACGTTAAAAAAACAATCGCATGATACGGATACTCATATTAAAGAGAATACAAGTACCAAAAAAATCTTCTTTTAAAAAAATAAAAAATAAAAAATTGTTTCTGTGGCATTGGGTTGGGGGCATCATGTCTGCTCTTAAAGAAAATGACTATAAGCTGCAGAATGCTTGAAGCTGCAATTTAAGCAATGAATGCAGAATATTGTCTGACTTATTGCTACTAAGTGATATAGAAACATCGGTGAAAGTTCCATCCAAGGTGGTTCTTTGCAGTTTGGACAGCCTCTTTAGAGATGATTTTGACAATTCATACAAAGGTGTGATATGGAAATGTATCTTTCTTCATACGACACATAATCTACTAATCTACTAAGTGATAATGTATATAACATGTATTGGATATTGTACAAATATGACAACACTATATACAATAATAAAGTAATCATGGCAAAATCTAGGTAAAAGGTAGAGCTTAACTTGAGAAAAGGTTTTATTTTTCATTTTCATATTCTGTTTAGTTCCAGCTTTTAAGTTCATCAAAGTTGACTATCACTGTGTTACAACAATTTCTTATAGTTATGTGTTTTGGTTTCTTGGGTTTCCATCATTTTACCATCAAGAGTAAGATTTCATATGCTATCTTTCCAACCATAGTTATTTTAAAGGCCACTTTCCCCTAAAATCACCATGGATTTGCTGGTCTTGTCAAGCTCTTTTATACTTTTGTTGTGTACTTGGGTTGGTCTCCCTTCCTCACTTCAATATTTAATCCAATTAGCCATTCAAATAAAAATAGAAAAAGAAAACAGCAGATCTGGAACTTCATACCTCCTGCAATTGTCGTTTGTATAGATCTGTTCGATAGTATGCTGTTGACATCAACATACTTGGATTATATGAGCTGAAAAGACTGCAAATAACCACAAAATTCATCAGTCATTGTACAAGTTTCAAATTGATGCAAACAAATAATCTTGCCAGAAGATCACCCGGAAAAAATATTCAAATGGATATTTCCAGTACAACTGATAGAACAAACAATGTTCCAATATATCTTAAATGGACAAAGTCATCCTAATGGAGCACGTAAGCTCGTACTCAATGCACAAGGTTCCTGCTTACAGGAGGGTCTGGGAGAGGTAGGTATGCAGCCTTACCGCCACTTTAAGGTGGAGAGGAAAACTCTCATGTCTTGAATCCATACCACAAGGCTAAGGACAGATAGCACTTGCATCATGGCAGGAGATACAAAAGCAGCGTTTGGTAGAGTTTTCTAAATATGATTTAAGAATAGAGTTGTATTTTGAGTTTGTGAGTTTTAGAATTATGAATTGAGTGTGGAAAATTTATTTGATTATGAGTTTTGAATTGAGTTTTGGAGGGAGTTTTGAGTTTTTGAAATTAGAAAAGTTATTTACAATTCATAACCAAACACACTACCCAAAATTTTATTCAAAACTCATATAAAATTAAAAATTCCGAAAATATTTTTTATTTACAATATAAAAATAACAGGTGCGAAAAAAAACAAAAAAAAAAACCGGACACTATTCCAATCAACCAGCCAGACGTCCAGGAGGACGACCGGGTTAGCCAAATTTTCCCGCCTAGAAAGGAGTTTTTAAAAGTGGGTGTGGAATTATAATTTGAAAGCTTAAAACAAACACCACACTCAAATCAATGGGTGGAAATGTGTTTGGAACACCTAACCAAACACAGCCAAAATTTTCCCTATTGAAATCTAGAGTAACTATTGGCCAAAGATATTGGGAAGTTCAAGAAACACTCTGCGCTGTTTCAAGGGTATAACACCTACATGCTTCCTCCAGAATCTGACCAGTTGCTGATGGGCAAGAAATTCAACAACTTTCGACAAGTCAATTTTCTAGGATTTGTTAGTATTCAACAATAGAATTTCCATACTCCCATAGAATTTTCATTTTGTCTTAGGTTATTGAAAATCCATTCTTTGATCCATTAGTTCTATAGTTTTTGATATTCCTTTCTCATAGACAATGAATAACAGAAGAATAAATACATTCTAAGTACTGAACTTCATAACTATCGTAAGAAAATAAGCACTGAATACCATTTTAGAACCCCATGTCAAACCAATCCAATTTGAGTAGCTCCAATCTTATATGCAACTGGTAATTACTACAATCTTATAAAATTGAAATAGGGTTGATCTCCAAGTGGAGGTTGGCCTTGGCTTGGCCTCCATCAAGTGTCAGTATAACTTGGGTTGAGCCTTGTTGAACTCCAACCCAAAGCAAACCACAGGAGTAGCAGTGCTTGACACCACCGATATTGCAATAAAAAAGGAAAAACTAACTATACCTACAGGCCACATGCCAATAATGAGGCAACTAAAGGTGAAGACTAGATTAATTAAGGAAATAATAGAAAAATGAAAAACAGCCTGCAGGCAGTAACAGCAGAAGTGGATCATTTGGAAATGTCATATTGCAGCATACCTGCTCAATGGAGCATTATCGTATATATTTAGCCTTTCAAAGAAAGCAAGGGTATAAAATGTGAAGCGATCCACAACAGAGACACCAACCTGTAACAAAGAAACAATTTGAATAAGAGACAGTAACCAAAGATACACGATGAAACATAGACAATGATTGTAATAAAAAATAAGTTACAGTAACATAGACAACGATCATAACGAAATGGATTACAGCATCCCCAAGCATAAAATTATTCCATCACATATCAGTTGCAAAATGGAAATGCCAGTAAGTCTATACTTACATCAGAGTCCAAGTGATGTGAGTAAGAGTTTTCTCCTTTCATGCTACTTCCAATAGTCAAAACACCAGGAGATTGAAGCTGCAAGGAAAGAAATGATATTCCACTCCACATCAAGACTAATTCTCAAGATAATTTTTTTTTTTTTTTTTAATCAGCAACATAGATATTTGATTAAAAGATAAAAGGAGGAAGTAGCGGAGTAGCGGGCCAATAGTTCAGTGGTTAAAGCTCGGTCTATCAACCTTGAGATTATGGGTTCAAACCTGAAGACAACCACTTTCAAATAATGTCAAAGTTTAAGTATGTAACCAATGTACCCCTTCCAGACCCTCACCCAATGGGGATTAAACCGGCTGACCCAGAACCAATGCAAGTGAAATTTCTCTACCATTAAGGACCATTTGAAACCAAAAAACCAGTTAGCGAGGAAAAGCAGATCAGTTTAAGAGTTAATGAGGTTAATAAGTATCTAAAAAAACTGGGAGATTCAGCCAAGCCAACCATCTAAGAAAGAAGGTATGAAACAATGTGAATATGAGTAAGGCTCTACCCTGGCTTTTCATAGGTTTCTTGTAGTCTTTATCACATGGACTGTGGAGTGTGCATCTTCAAGACACTGGGGGTAAAATTGGTTTTTCATTCAAGCCACTTACCAGGATATTGACTCAAACTGGTCTAATAAATTAAATTCCCAAACAAGCAGACAAAATGTGAACTGAAAACTTGAATAGGAGTCCATAGAATATTACACAAGTAGAATAGTCACAGCATTTAGAAAGATAACCACAAACCTGAGAAAAGAGTGTAGCAGCTTGGCAAGTGTCAACCATTATCAACAGCTCCTTGAATCTGAATTTTGATCATAATCAAGAGCGTGTGAGCTCACTACTTGAAAGTGAAGATTAACATTTAAAAAGGACAGCCTAACTTTTAATTGTATACACCCACGAAGAAGGCCTCATTATATCATATGCCTATTAGAATTTCAACATAAGACTGACATATATATATATAACAGACCTTTCTAGAATCACAATTTAACTAATAGCAATTATTATATTTAAGTCATGATTGTTTGAAACCATATTGTCTTTCTATTGCACAATCAAAATATAATGAAATTTAATTAGTATGAAAAGACCAAGCAGACAGATGTAGCATTTAGGACATGCTCTCACCTACGCTTTTCCTTCATTTGTTTCACTGCATCGGCTAAATCGTGACTTTGAAGCTCCTCTGAGTCCTGAAATTTTAAAAATTCATCTCCCCCATGTCCTGTCATGTATAGAAGGATGTGGCTTCCTTCATCACTTAGAAGCCGTTTTGACCTTGGAACTGCAGTTTTATGACGCCCTGTTAAAACTCGCAAAAAGTTTTCAACTGTCACTTCATAACCTCGATAATCTACCTGACAATATCAGAGCATGGAAAAATCAGAATACAATCTAGAATGTGCAAGTGTAGGAAAACTTTTAAAATTACGTTACCAAATACGAAAATGGCATGCTAGTCGCTTAATACACTAAATGAACGATACATTAAAGAGTGGATTAATGTTTAGCATTAAGCATTAGCAGCATATTAGTTTACCTTTTATGGTCATGCAAAAAAGCCAATCTCAGAAATACACAATATCAGGGAAATTGACATCACAATTGACATCACAATTGACAACTGTGGGAACTTTGCACTTGTCTATTAACAAGAAAAGCTGCTGATAATATCAACAACAAAGAAGGCAGAGGACCAGCCCATCCAGTACAACGGCTTGGTTGCTTAATGAATACACCCAATATTAAATAAAAAAGAGGAAGGTGGAAATGGTAGTTAAGCTGTAAATAAATACCCATATTTATGTCAGCATTCAACAGCATTTAAAAATCAAAGCTTCTTTCATTTTTTAATGGCCATAATATTTCCAACTAAAAACAAATCCTTCAATGAAAAATTTTCCATGAACCAAAACATATGATCATCCTTTTAAACATCCATATATCCAATGTCTTCTATTTGTGCTCTCAAGTACAGCACTACAGCCGAAGCCCAACACCTAAGAAGCATGGATACGGACACGCGACACGACACGGATACAACACGGGCACACCGACATGCTAATTTTCAAAAAAAATAGGACACGACACAAGGGGGACATGCATGAAATACATAATTTTATATATTTATTATATGTTATATATATCAAAGTTTTTAAAGGCGAATGCGTACCTCGAGGCGTTTTACCCTTCAAGAGGTGAGGCATTTTACCCCTCATGAGGTGAGGCGTAAGCCTTAGGGCGTTGAGGCATAAGCATTTCAAATTTCAAATTTTAATATTTAGTGAATGAATTAAATATTTTAAAACAGTAAAAAAATAAAAACAAAATTAAATATAAAGGTGTAAATACTTTTCGCTTTAATACGTTGAATATTTTACTGCATAGAAGAAAGTTTTCTTTCACTGAAAGTGAAATTGATATTCTTAACTTCAGTGATTGAACTTTTCTCACTTGACCATTAACTGTGTTTTTTCTTGATTGATCATTTACTTAATTTTTCCTGTAAAATATAGTTGCAAAAAGGGATTCTTTTTATTTTTTTATGTTTAAACAATCCAATAGACTAAGGCCTCGTTTGGGAACAGGCTAATTTAATAAATTTTTTGCTATTTGGCTAAAAACGTAAGTAAAAAAAACTTATATGTTTGGGATGACTTTTTGGCTAATTACGAAAAGATGTGCAAAAAGTAGAGGGAAAAGAGAATCTTTGACTTTTTGGTATGAATTGTTGGCTTTTTGGCTAAAATGATAACTTTTTGGCTTTTTAACTAAAAATGTAAGTCCCCAAACGGGGCCTAAGTTTAACAAAAGCCCAAGGCAACCTCTACATGTGCATACTCCTCACATGCTAATGCGCAAAAGGCATACAAAGCGCACCTAAGGCGCATGTCTCAAACTATGATGCGCAAGCCTTTGGAGAGCAATGCCTAAAATCAAAGCCTTGATGCGTTTTACCTCGAGGCGAGACGGGCATCGAGGCGAGGTGGGCATCGAGGCGAGCCTTAGGAAAGCTTTTTAAAACTTTGATATATATGAATATATCATTCAAAGATAATAAAAAATGCAATATGACACTAATTCCTATAAATTTATATAATTTTTATTTCATTATTGTATCTTAAGTTGTTTTGTTCAAATTATAATTAGTTTCACATGTGTCTAATCAATAGACACATGTATTTAAGAGATACATACGTGTGTCCTCCAAATGTCCAAACAGTGTCCGAGTCTTTAAAAAATATTAAAAAATAGGACACATTTTGAAGAGTGTCGGACATGTGTCGGGGAAGTGTCCAAAGAGTGTCACCGTGTCGGTGTCCGACACGGACACAACACGGATACGTCCCCTTCTTAGAAGTGTCTGTGCTTCTTAGCCTAACACAAGCTTGGGGAACTAAGAAGATTGACTATGCTCAATAAAAAAAATTCTACAAGAAAATCCACAAATCAATAAAATCATAAAGAACTAGCACAGTAAAGGCGACATAAATTTGAGAAACATTTATGAAGTTAACACTCTTTATCTAAATATTGGTGCCACAACCATGGCTTTGAAAACCATCTTATTCAACATATACATTTAGTCTCCCTTCATTATGTGAACCTCTAAGGAACAAATTCTGCTTCTTGATGATATGTGAAGTGTGAACTATAATTGAATGTTTAATGAGACAAAGTTGATATGACTGCCCAAAATAACATTCACAAGCTCCAAGTAAAGAAACAATGGCCACCTCAACATTATCTCCATACAAGTTAAGTCTGTGGTTCTCATTGTTGAAGACTTGGGCAGGGTATTTGTTCCGGGCATTGCAAGCCATATCATCAGCCAACATAAGAATTATCCTCTCATCGGGTATTCCTAGCCTTTTTACTGTCCTGAATTGAAAATTTCATAAAATGAACAATTTTAATTGGAAAAACTAAGTATGCTGGACAAAATTTAAAATAAACATAAGAATTGATAAAGAAATGCTCGCATACCTGTATAAAGATAAGGTATTGGCCATATGCCGATAATTAAACCTGAACAACAACAACAACAACAACAACGAAAATAAAGTTCACTTTCCAGGTAGAGTCATATAGAACACTCAATCTTAAAACCAATCACAAGGTGGCTCAAATTTGGCATCTTGTTGACTAACAGCATCAAAGATACAGTAAAATGCTTCATATCATAAATAGAAGGTAAATTTAGGAACATCTAGTATTTTTGGATGCACAGAAAATATTAAATTTTGTGAGAAGCTGATGACACGTCCACAACAAGCAAAAACCAATCAAATTTCACAATGTGAAAAATCTTGGGAAAACGGTTTGATTTCAAGGTGAGGCCTATTGTGACATTGCGTAATCAACTGTACAGATTTTACAAAGTACCCATTTGCATGATCATTTAGGTTGACATATACCGCTAGTCACTTGTAGGTTTTCTTAGTTTTCCCGATGTAGGATGCAGTTACAATCCATGAATCATAAGTTGGGTCAAGTTACATTATTAAAACTTTCAATATGGTCTTTAGTTGGATTAGAAGAGTAGTAGAAGTCAAAATCTTAAGTTTCTAATTTGAGAGCCAAAATCCTATTAGAGTTTGGACCCCTTAAAGTTACAATGCTTTCAATTCAATAAATGACATATTTTGAAAACTTTCTGAAGCTTTTGAAGATCTCTTAACATTGTTTCTTCTTCTTTTTCTTTATCTTCCTCATTCAACAGTAGAACATAAAAGAAGAACAAAAACCAGCTTCACTATTGGTTCACAGCACCTGAAAGCACCTATCTTATTGATTTTTCCCAATCTGAGAGCAGATTATCATAACCCTCTCCTTTAATCTGCTCTATAACCCTTGTCACAACAAAATTTTAAAATAAATAAATAAAGTTGCTGTCCCGAAAATTCTAATTGCATAATTCAGAAAATCCAGAAAAATTGAAGACTCCCATATTTGGAGTCTTTAGATGGTATATATACAAATTGAACCTCACTACACTAGCAAACACTTGCCATAACACCCTAATTTCGATATCAACTGCGAAAATTCCTTCTCTTTCCTTCGAAAATCGCATTTCAAAAATTTAGAATGTGTTATGTGGAATCAAATCAAACCCCAGTTGTCTCTATCATGTACTTCACAGAAATGCCTAATTTCGAAATTCAATTTTATCAGACTATAAAGAGAAACAGTGAAAAAGGGGAAACTGAAGTGTTACCAGAAGCGAGAAGTGCAGACCAAGACAGCCCAATTGTTGGTGTGCCTTGTGGTAGATGAAGAAGAAGAAGAAGATCTTGAAGCATTCGCATTGCAGAGAGATAACGAACATAGAAGAAAGAAAGAGAACACCATGAATTTGAAGAATGTCTCCATCTTCAACTGAATCATTATAATTCCCACTTCTTTTCTGTTGTTTGTTTGTTAGATTTTACCAATCGAGGGTTTAGAAACGGTGAGAAAGAATTGATGAAAATGTAGAGCTTCAAAGTTTTTCTTAGGAAAAAAGTAAAATAAATTTTGCTGACGAATAACTTGATTGGTTATGTATTTTTTTATAATATACATTGATTGACAATGTTTACTATTTATTTTTATTTTTTTATGGGAGATGTTGTTTATTAAAATATAAAATTTTAAAAAAAATTAGGAATTTTTATTGATAAATTCCATTTAGAAGTGTTTTAATCCAAGAAGTTCATGAAAGAATTTTTTAACCCATGTAGTCCCATGTCTGTATAGTTTTATTCCATAAAGTCCTTTTCTTGATTTACACTATTTTCTTGGACACTTTTGCCCTTAAATTTAATTTTGATACCCTTATAAATATTTTTTGAACGGTTACAATTTTATGATGTGAATATTCATATTTTAAAATTCATATTGGTAGGAATGTAAAATTGGCCCGTGGGCAGCCCGAAATCCGCCCGCGAGCCAGGGCGGGCCCGACCTATTGACAATGTGAATATTCATATTGACATGTTAACATTCACATTAATAGAAGTGTAAAATTAGCCAGCGCCCCGTGGCGGCGCGAAACCCGCCCGCGGCCCAGGGCGGCCCCGGTCCGGCCCGTTGACAATTTGAATATTCACATTGACATGTTAACATTCATATTGATAAGAGTATAAAATTGGCCCGCGGCCCATAGCAGGCCCGCCCCCGCCCGTTGACAATGTGAATATTCACATTGACATGTTAACATTCACATTGATAGGAGTGTAAAATTTGCCCGCTGCCCGAAGCTTACCCGCAGCTCGGGGTAGGCCCGGCCCGGCCCGTTGATAATATGAATATTCACATTGACATGTTAAAATGCACATTGATAGGAATGTAGAATTTGCCCGCGGTCCGTGGGCTGCCCGAAGCCTGCCCACGCCCCGAGGCAGGCTCGTTTCGGTCCGGGCCCGAGCATGTCCAAGACCCTAGGTTAGGGCCTAGGTCATCACTTTGAAGCCCGGCCCGGTCCATCGCCCTACTTAAGGCCCACTCAATGCTCAGTCCGAGGTCCAGTCCGCCCGAGGCGCAATGTATTTTTTTGTGGAAAATAATAAAATTTTGGTAGAAAAAATTAAAAAAAATGGCCAAGCCCGACCTAAGCTCGAGACTAGACCCAGGCCCACCGGCCTGACCCGAGGCTCGATCCATCAACCCGTCCAAAGCCCGAATACCCTTGTGCCAGGACTAAGGCCTGGGCCTAATTTTTTGGCCCGTGGGCTAGTCCGACCCGGCCGGGGGAAGGCTCGTTTGGGTCCAAGCGCGAGCCTAGTCCAAGACCCTAGGCTAGGGCCTAGGCCATCACTTTGAAGCCCGGCCCATCGGCCCCGTTAAGGACCATTCAAGGCTCGATCCGAAGCCCGGCCCGCACCGAGACCTAGTGTCTTTTTTTGTGGAAAATAATAAAATTTTGGTATAAAAAATTAAAAAGAACTGAAAAAAAATGGCCAGGCCTGCCCCGGGTCGCCCACGGGCCGTGGGCGGGTTTCGGGCAGCCACAAAGCACGGACTAATTTTACACTCTTATTAATGTAAATGTTAACATGTCAATGTGAATATTCACATTGTCAACGGGCGGAGGCGGACCCACCTTGGGCCGCTGGCCAATTATATACTCTTATCAATGTGAATGTTAACATGTCAATGTGAATATTCACATTGTCAACAGGCCAGGCCGGGCCCGCCTGGGCTAATTTTACACTCTTATCAATGTGAATGTTAACATGTCAATGTAAATATTCACATTGTCAACGGGCCGGCCCGGGCCGCGGGCGGGCTTTTGGCCACCCATGGGCTGCGGGCCAATTTTATACTCTTATCAATGTGAATGTTAACATGTCAATGTGAATATTCATATTGTCAACGGCCCGACCGGGCCCGCCCATGGGCCGCGGACGGGTTTCGCGCCGCCACGAAATGCGGACCAATTTTACACTCCTATTAATGTAAATGTTAACATGTCAATGTGAATATTCACATTGTCAATGGGCCGGGCCGGGCCCGCCCCGGCATGACTCGAATTTTTCCGGGCACCTACGAGGATCGACATGGGCCGGGCCCCTACACATTGATGATATGAACATTCACATTAGGGGTATTTTGGTAATTATGTCACCCATAGGACTTATTGAAACATAAGAAAATAATGTGAACTAAATTGAACATAAGTAGATCAAAATGTTATTTTGGTTTTCTTATCTCAAATAGGACCTAATGAAATAGTTAAAAAGAATATGGGTTAAAATAAGTTTCATTAAATTTGTATCAAATTAAGTTTTTATCAAAATTTTCATTGAATCAAGGGTTAAAATATATATATATATATATTTTTTTTACCAAAATTTATAAAAGAAGTCTTTCTGGATAAATTTAGAAGTTTCAAATAGAATTTGATGAAATTTTTAAGTAAGCAAGCATACTGTTAGGAAGTGTGTAATAATGTGTTAGCAATGGTGACTGGTTGCTTGGATACGAGCAAAATATAAGTATTTGGAGTATAAGAACTGGTCTCTCACTAACATGACAATATGATTTTTGAAACATAGAACTAGAAGTTGATACAACCTTTGGTCTTTAATTGTAAGTTACTACTTAGGCGTAATTAGACTATTTGAATTTAGTATGTGTATTAGGAGGCGAAATATGTAGCTACATTCATAGAGGGCTCTCTTGTAATATAACCTAACATGCCCTGTTTTGTTCTACCAACATCGACAAACGTGTACCCCACGGTGTGTAACCAACATTCTTTATATATAAATAACACTTGATAAAACTTTGTATCTTTGATCAAAAAAATGGTGCATAAAAAAAAGTTTGATCTAAACTCCATCGTCCAATGTTGAGTGACTAAAATTAATTAATCTCAAGTAACACCTTCCAATTTATCCATGGAGAAACTTTTATTTTCTACCCTATTGTATTGTCGACAATCGTAACTCCAAAAATTAGAAAATAATAGTCAAGACAGTCACGCATGCATTCAAACCATAGTTTAAACATCATAATTATTGTTCTTAATTGATATATAGAAAAGGTTTTCCAAATGTTATGTACAATTTTAATGACACGATGATATGCTTTACTTGTCAGATATAACTGAATTAACTCTTAAAAGGATGTTATTCTCTTCCTTATCTATGTTTGAGAGTGATCCATCGTCACTATATGGACCATCGGTTGACATGCTTTGTGTTTGGCTTGGATTCTGCCAGAAATGATTTCTTATGGCCTTAAACTTTGGATTGATGGCTGAAAACCCGGGATCGGAAAGTAGGTCTTGAACGGCAGTTCGGCCTTCGAGCATGCTCACCACTTGAGACATCGTAGGCCTAAGAGTTGGTGATGCATTGGTACACAAAAGTGCCACATTTAGCATCACCATTGCTTCCTCTGATGAATACTCTGAGCCCAATTCTGGATCAACCAGCTCCAGTAGACTCCCTCTCTCTTGCAGAACGTACGCCTGAAGAAATATCGAAACAGGATCAACTCCGTAAAAATAAGTATTGACAATGAATACAAAGTGTTTAGCATTGAAATAATCTGCAATTTTTTGAAATAGTGGCAAAGACCGGGAAGACGGTATTGAAAAATAAGAACGAAAATTTTGAAGAGATCTTAATTACCCAGTCAAGAAGGTAAACAAATTCTTCCTTTGGCCTGTAGTTTGTGTTGCTTTTTCCACTGACAATTTCCAGTGCTACTACTCCAAAACTGTAAACATCTGCTTTGTTTGTTAAATAACCACGCATTGCATACTCGGGAGCCATATAACCACTGCATAGACAAAAGGCACTGGAAGTTTTAAGATAATCTGTATAATTTCAAGTATCAAACCTTGCATGTATAGAATGAACTTAAATCATAAAATTAATCTTATAAGACACAGATAAAATTATCAAAGATGAACACATGTCAAAGGCTGTTTAATCCATATTTAAACATTTCTATTCCCACAGGGTGTTTAGTAGAAAATTTATTTTTCCTTTTTTTTTTTTTCCTCTTATTTTATTCTTCCTTTTCAATTAAAGAAAGTTAGTCTGGTTGAGTTCTTCTAATACCCAACATTGATATCCTTCTTGTTAAGCTTTTAGTTATCTTTTCCACAGAGAGGAACTAAGCCAAAGTATTCAGTTCCATCTATACAAGTCATAATTTCAAACGTTAATATCAGATAAGTTTGAGCTGAAATAAGAACAATTTATGAGGGTAATTATTATAGGACTTACATAGTTCCAGCAACCCGAGTGCTGATGTGAGTATTGTCATCCTCGTAAAGCTTTGCCAAGCCAAAATCAGAAATTTTAGCATTAAATTCCTTATCAAGCAACACATTGCTAGTCTTAATGTCTCTATGCACAATCTTCAGTCTCGATTCCTCATGGAGATAGGCCAAGCCCCTAGCTATGCCTAAGCAAATTTTCTGCCTGGTAGGCCAGTCTAGTTTCAATTTGCAAATTGCATCACGTCCTGTTAAAAGAAAAGGACAAGATAGTTAATTCTCTAGTGTCTATCAACATTGCCTAACTAGTTTAATTGGTATACACATCTTGGTCAAGTTGAGATCCAGGGCTCACCAAAAAGAGCACGGGATAGACAATTGTTTTCCATGTACTCGTATATCAGTATTAACTGGTTTCCTTCAACACAACATCCATACAGCTTTACGAGATTTGGATGTTGCAATCCAGAAATCATGCCTATTTCGTTCACAAATTCCTTATTTCCTTGCTTAGATTTTGCGGAAAGTTGCTTCACTGCAATTACTGTTCCATCTGATAATAGACCCTGCATTCGTGAAAGAAAAACTCCAATGTTATGCTCAAGCATCATTAGGGATGACTAGTGGATTCTAATAATAAAAAAATGACTACTCTGTAATTGTTGATACCATCACTCAAGGATCACCTTAATTTTTCAAAGATCTGCACTTCCCAGCAGACGCAAGTTTATATATTTTGAAAATAAATTACCTTGTAAACTGAGCCAAAACCACCCTCCCCTATCCTGTTTGCTGCATCAAAGTTCATAGTTGCAGCTTTTATCTGTCTTAATGTAAACAATCCAGTTTGTAGAAGTGATGTTGAGTGTGAGGTTGTTCTTCGCAAAGAAATTCGGAGATTCTCGAAGATGCAGAGAAGACATGGTCGCAGAGGATTCTCTCCCCGTAGAAGACCGTCTTCACGGCGATCTTCATGGCGTGACTTCACCGGACACAGCATAGTTCGGTCTATATCTCTACAGATTGCTCAGATTCGCATTGAATATATTACAACTCCTATATAACTCCTATATATAGAAGAGAAGATGGTAGTAGGTGTAGCTGGTAGTGGAGGTGGTAGGTGAAGTGGGTGGTAGTGGAGGTGGTAGGTGTGGAGTGTGTGATAGTGGAGGTGGTAGGTGGAGAGAAATTCTAACAAAAGATACTATGATTAATTCTATAGAGAGTTGTACCTTTATCTGCAGATATCTTTCCTCCCAACCAGCCTTTCCTCCACAAAATAATTAGGACGAGAAAGACAATAAATACTGCTCCAACCACAGCCCCAGCCACTACTCTGACATAAATCTTCTTGCCATGCTCTGAAGGAGGTTTAAAGTCTGTGCAAGGAGAAAATATTACAGATTCATCGGCTACTGAATAAAAGGCTTAAATAATACATAGATACATATATATGGTAGAAATTTAATCTCATTTAATACCAGTTAAAATATTACATATATACAAATATTTTTTATTGGATCCATTTTTGGTATAGTAAGGCCTCGTTTGGGAACCCTCATTTTTAGTCAAAAAACTAAAAAGTTACTAAATTAGTCAAAAAGCCAACAATCCATACCAAAAAGTCAAGAATTCTCTTTTCTCTCTACTTTTTGCACATCTTTTCGTAAAAAGCCAAAAAGTCATCCCAAACATACTAGTTTTTTTTAGCTCATATTTTAGCCAAATAGCCAAAAAGTTACTAAATTATTCTGTTCCCAAACGAGGCCTAAGTGCTGAACCATTTCAGCAACACAGATTTGGATCCATTTTTGTATTTCATAATTCATTATAGAGCTTTGATGTGATGATAAGTCAAGAATATAATTCCCAGGAGCTTTAACCAGAAGGACATGCAGGAAGAAGATGCACCAAAGAGAACTTAAATAGCTTACTAGGGTCAACTGAGATAGCTGATATAAGAGGACCATAAACTCCTCTTTGTGGGATGCCTGTTGTCCCTTTTCCAGCCCAGTAAAAGTGAATTTTCAATGTGTGGCTCGTTACTTCGGCAGTAAAATTCTTAACGATGGGATTACCAGGCCCACCGGCCTCATTTTCGATGTTAAAATCCTTCAGCACCAATTTTCCCTGTATATTCCAAAACACATAAATGGATTTAACATTAATTAATGTAAAATTCAGAGGGGACTCCCTTATTTTCTAGCTATGTATAGTTTGGTTACCTGGATATAGACATCAAATATACGCTTCCCAAGGCTGTCAAATGTCTGGTCATTTGTGTAAACAATCTCGGCAAAATGGAGTCTGACAGTGTAATTCCCATTCCCAAGACAAAGTCCATAGTAGGTGAGAGAGAGGGGTGATACACGTGCTGTTTTATACAATTCTGAATCAGTAGCAGAGACATTATGCAGAGTAGAAGTGTTAGCGTCAATGTAAACATCAGCCTCAAGATCATTATCCATGAAGTTCCCCGTGCTGCTAAATGCCCAGTTCTGTCCTGAGTAAAACATTGAAGCACCCCTCACTTCTAAATCAGCTTCATACTTGCTGTTATTGAAGATTGCCTCCTTGCCACCACAGTTAATGTGCAAGGAATAATCTGTTGAGAGTTAACAATTAAACAGAATTTACAAAAACAAGCTTAACGAAAAATAGTGGGAAACAAACCTGTAGTAAGTGCTTTCTTTGAATTGGAAATACACAATTATTTTCCTTTTCTTGAAATCTAAGAAAAGTTTGATGGATTGTTGCAAAATCCTGATATTATCCAATATTCCTTAATTTTACCAGTTTAACTTTAGCAAGCAACTGAGTTCCCTTCCTTCCCATACATTGTTGTCAAATCGTGAATCGTTTTACAAAAACAGTGAATCATGATCGTAAGTTTCACTTTATTTAGCATAATATATAATTTTGTGTATGTATCTTCTTACAAAAATACACGCATAATGTTTAAAATGAAATAAATATCAATATAATTAAATTATATACATGTATATACTTATAAAATCATAATTTATTTCTCTCTCTCTCTCTCTCTCTCTCTCTCTCTCTCTCTCTCTCTCATGTTGCAAAAATGACATCGTTCATACATTATGCAAACAGAACTAAATTATAGAAAATCATAGTGAACTGAACTGAATCATAGTGAAATACAATTTCTTCAATTTAAGATTCGACAATGGATTCAATCATTTTGATTGAAACTCGTATTGAATCGTTAATTTACTTACATTGATTACCCATAGCAGAACATGGGTAGTTTTTCTTTAGGCATGGATGAACTTTACTTCTGCAGTATATAAGAAAAGGAATGCAAGCATTAATAGTAGCCTACTTATAGTTCAGAACTGAAAAGGCAATGTTTGGAGCTATTATTCATAAACCAAAAGCAACACCCACCAAAGAGGAAAAGAAACATGGCAATCTTCTCAAAATACATTAATACAAAATACAGGCACAAGAATCTTACAATTTGTTGGTGGAGGCGGCAGAGTAGGTCTCGACCAAATTTCTGAAAAGTCAGTGAAGAGATTTACTATTACATTTCTATGTAGTTCTGTGAGATAAAAACAGAAGGAACAAATAAAATTACACTCACACACTCCCTCGAGGACATTCAACTGGACTTGAGCTTTCCCAAGTGAAATTGTTATAAGAAATATCCCTGTATATTAAAATAGAGGGAAAACATTAAAATTTGTCTTAACTAAGAACTTTAAACAAGTTAAACAATAACCTGCATTATTCTTTCATGGAAATTGATGTCACAAATTGTCAAAGTCGGATGATAAATTGATTAATGTGAAAAGTGTACATACACATTCTTGTTTCTTGAAAGGATCCATCCAGGTATTTGTCCAGTAAGTTGGTTCCCCGTCAAATACCTACAAAAAACATCCTTGTAGTGTCGTTTAACGAACATACATAAGAAAAGATCAAATACCTACAAACAACATTCTCATGTCTCCATAAATGAGCATATGTCAGGAAAAAGAAGAATTTATACAAGAGATCCCCTTACATGAAATCTACTTTAGCTAGTTGGACAAAAGATGTTGGAATTTCACCACTCAAGTGATTGAAACTGAGGTCTCTACATTGACAAAGAGCACGAACATAAGTCCACCAAATATAGAATCAATGAATGCTAACTGATAGCATAATAGTTTAGCAAAATTACTAGGCTTGGATTTTTATCAGAAGAATCTGGCTATTAACTTCAAAAGAAATAAAACCTCAATGATTGCAACGTTATAACGAAGGATGCAGTATGCAGGTATAATAGAATAGTTTTGATACATAACCACTGAGAGCAAGCAATAATTGATCTTGCTCCACCTATCCAAAAAATTGTATTTGCATAGATTTTAATCCACTTTAGAAAATACACCAGTACACCCAAAGATTTTTATCCCTTTGTTGGGCTCTATTTAAGCATCATAATGACAACTCAACTGATACTTATTGCTCCTATTTGGCAGTAAAATCCTGCTACTCAAGTCCATACAATCAACTGATGCTATATTTAAGGAAAATAGAAGATAATTTGATAAACAAACAACAAATGAAACAATGTCCAATGCCATCTAATGGTAACCAAAACTGGATCAGGTACAGATGCCTTGCTCTTCTTGAGCCGGAGTAATTTTGCCTCCTTGGGCCGAAGTAGCTTTGTCTTCCCAAGGCCGGAGTAACTTTGCCCTTCTGGGCCGGAGTATTCTGTACGGCCTTTTTACCTAGTCCACTGCGTTTTGGGCCTCAAAACCAAACTCGA